ATAGACATGGTCATGAACTCCTTGCCTCCCAGTTATGATCAGTTTATCTTAAGTTATCATTTGAACAACACAGAGAACACATTGACCCAACTCCACAAGTTGTTGCAGAAAGTGGAATCAAGGATGAAGAAAAATCAGATCCCTTCTGCGACAAGCGCTTCAGTCTTTTCCATTAGGCAAAACAGAGGAAAGAATAGGAAAGCAAATCCTCAATCGAACTGGAAGGGCAAGGCCCATGTTGGAGCGTCTGACAGTGGGTCCAAATCAAAGCCCACTTTTGATATTCCTACTATTAGAGACCCCAAAGAGGCCACTTGCTACTATTGCAATGAAAAGGGGCATTGGAAAATAAGTTGCCCTAAATACTTGCAGGACATCAAGGATAGCAAGGTTAAGCCATCGTCGACAGGTATGTACATTATTTAATTAAATAACTCACAACTTACTCATTATTGGGTCCTTGATACAGGATGTGGTTTCCATGTTTGTTCTGATTTGCAGGGGCTAAGAGAGAGTGAAGAGGTGGAGCATTGAAGAATAAATCTGATCATGGGGAATAGGCGATCTTCACCTATTACCAAGATTGGAACTTATGGTCTCGTGCTCGGTGGTGATGTTAGAATAGATTTGATTAATTGTTTCTATTCATCAAAAATGACATGAAACATTATTTCTTTTCATGCATTGTTCAGACAATGATTTTGATATTCATTTGATGATGTGAATGGTTTGGTTTTAGCTTAAAAAAATGGTGTGTTTGTGTTTAAAGCTTTACCTTGTCATGGTGTGTATGAAACTATGATTTGTGTTGATAACTTAGGCAATAGTATATTTCATATTGATTCGTCTAATGGTGTACACAAAGCATGTTTGTGGCATTGTTGTCTTGGGCACATTAACAAGAAACGCATCTAACTTAGGCAATAGTATATTTCATATTGATTCGTCTAATGGTGTACACAAAGCATGTTTGTGGCATTGTTGTCTTGGGCACATTAACAAGAAACGCATCACCCAACTCCCAAAGGATGGAGTGTTGTTATCATCTGACTTAAGGACATATGATGAATGTGAGACTTGTCTTTTGGGTAAGATGACAAAATCACCATTCACTGGAACATGTGAAACTGGTGAAGGATTGTTGGATCTTATGCATATTGATGTATGTGGACCCTTCAAATCTGCTACAAGGGATGCAAATCGATACTACATGATGTTTACGAATGATTATAGTAGATATGGATATATCTACTTGATCTAACATAAATCTGAAACCTTTGAAAAGTTCAAAGAGTTTAGACACGAGGTTAAGAATCAATTGGGGAGGAAGATAAAGATGCTCCGATCTGATAGAGGCTGAGAGTATCTTAGTATTGATTTCCATGACTACCTCGAGGAATGTGGAATAGTTTCATAATTGACTCCTCCTAGGAAACCACAACTTAATGGTGTGGCTAAGAGGAGAAATCGAACCTTGTTAGACATGGTTCGTTCCATGACGAGTCGAGCTTCACTTCCTATTTCTTTATGGGGGGTATGCCTTAGAGATAACCGCCCATATCCTAAGTCTTTTTCCTACTAAGAAGGTTTCCAAAACTCCTCACGAGATGTGAATACGGAAAGTTCCCCCGTTGGCACATATCAAGGTATGGAGTTGTGAGGCTCTCGTGAGACGAGAAACTCATGACAAACTAGAACCCATAGCCGAGAGTTGTATTTTCATTGGCTACCCATAGAAGTCTCTTGGATACTTATTCTACAGACCTAGTGAGAACGTGGTATTTGTAGCTCGAAGAGGAGTCTTTCGCGCAAGAGAGAGCTCATATTCAAAGAGGACATTGGGAGTTCAATTGAACTTGAAGAGATTTAAGAGTCAACCAATAAAGGAACCTTAAAAGACACTAACTCTCAACTTGAGGATGAGACTCCTGTTGAGCCCATTGACAATTCTTTACCTCTTCGTCGATCCAGTAGGGTTAGCATGTCACTTTCATTCTATGGTTTCCATATAACATTGGATGGTCACATGTTTATCAGTGATGGTACACTAATAAATTTAGATGAGACAACCAAATACAAGGAAGTGATGGCGAGCCCTGAGGCTGCCAAGTGGACAAAGGCAATGGATAGCGAGATCCAGCCTATATATGATAACCAATTTTGGAAGTTGGTTGATCACGTACCAGGTCGAAAGATAGTAGGGTGCAAATGGTTCTTTAAGAAGAAGACCGTAATGGATGGAAATGTGCACACATTCAAGGCACGACTGGTTGTGATGGGATTTACTCAAACCCAAGGGATTAACTATGATGATACCTTCTCACCAGTGGCTAAGATAAAGTCTATCAGGATTATGCTAGCAATAACAACGTTTCATGATTATGAATTATGGAAAATGGATGTTAAGACCACTTTCCTAAATGGGAAGTTGACTGAGGATGTTTACATGAGTCAGCCAGAGGGTTTCGTACATGACAAGTTTCCTGAAAGAGTGTGTAAGTTTGAGAAATCCATTTATGGATTGAAACAAGCATCTCGCAGCTGTAATATTTGCTTCCATGAGAAAGTCAAAGAGTTTGGTTTTTCTAGTAGTGACGATGAGTCATGTGTGTATGTCAAGGCTAGTGGGAGTATAGTGACTTTCCTGGTATTGTATGTTGATGACATACTTCCATGAGAAAGTCACAACGTCGCACCCAAAACCTTATGATCGTTATTGAGAGAGAGAGAGAGAGAGAGAGAGAGAGAGAGAGAAATATATGATTGCTTATGAGAGGGTGAGGGATCGGTTTTCATAAGGGTTATGACCGTTTATATAGTTGTCAAATAACCCCGAAACCTCATATTTGAATATAAAAATAATAGTATTTTAATTTGATTCAAATACATTTTCCTTATCTGATTCAGGAGACTTCCGAAATCCTTCTGGACACTCCTTAAAACCGTACAGGGCAAGGAATGATCTAAAATTGCATTTCTTGCTCAACTATTGAACAATTGCAATTCACCCATTGCACATTTTAATCAATTCTACTTAACCTAAAATTATTTCTAATTAATTTGGATTAATTTTTAGTTAATTATTAACTATTTCTAATTAATATGTTAATCATATAATATATTAATAAATCATTTATATCTCTTTTAATTAATATATCAAGGTATTTCCTGGTTATGAGGGCAACCCAACTAAAAATGACTTTATTTTTATTCACTAAAATTATATTAATTTAGTTAAGACATTAGACAGTTAATCCAACAACTTTTAGAGTGACACATGTTTCGAGAAACAATCGTTTAGAAAAGAAACTTTGATGCCATATAAGATTATGGTTTCCTCATCAATTATATCTTCATGTTAATTAGGTATAAATACAAAAGGAATGGATAGATTGTTGTGGATAAAGATCTAAAAAAAATGGTAAATCGCTTAATATAGAACCCTCCTCACATGCCATCACGTGGGGATAAATCGCACAATACCAATAATATTTAGGCATACAAGTTTTGAACTTTGAACCTCCTATATGAAATTTTGCACCACAACCGCAAGACTCTTATCATGATTCATGACGACAATATCATGATATGTGGTCTCATTTAAGTGGTTAATTTCAATGAGAAAATCTAGTTAAACAATTTTTAGAGTGTCATATGCAAGTTGAATCATGAACATTGAGTTCATTGAAGTCACAACCTTTGCATGTTTATCGGGGTCTATGATGGACATGGTGGACCAAATACATCAAGAAAAATTGTTCCAAAACCTTAAGAGTAAAATTACATGATGGGTTCAAGGACTTGATTTAGTTATGATCTCTTAAAGTATTTAATGTACGTTGATTTTGATCATTTTGTTATAATCTATTAAAGTAATTAATGTAAGTTGATTTTGATCATTTTGTATCCAATGCTCTTAAACTTAAATCAATGAGCATGAAACTTCTTGTCTAAATATAATCATAGATTCATAGAATATTTTATATGCTTATATGGAACCAAGTCATGTTAAGTAACGATTTCAAACCTAAAATATACACATATTTCAATTAGTTTTAACAAAAACAATAACACTAGCTATTTCCGTAATAGAAATCCGGGATAAAATATAAAGTAAATTTTTTTTTTGAAAATATGATTTATGAATGATTTGAAGCTCCAAAACAAATGAGACTTGCCATTCTATGTATTTTACCCGTTTAAGTGCATAAAAATGCCTACCACATGATGCTCTACACACAAGCCGCTTCACAGCCAAACGCTCATCCATTGGTGTGCTATGTGCCATGTAATATAAACAAGATATGTCAACATTTTAGTGTGACCACGTAGACTATGTTCTGGTTTTGTTTACAATTTTTAAGCATAATGCACAATTTGCTAAACACATCATTGTATTTAATATAAGATGTAACATTCCAATCAACATACTCGATCACCATTGTGCATTAAAATCTCTACAAGTACCACATATATATTGATAATGATATTCAATCATCACCCATCCCCTACCCTTTAAATTATACAAAATTTGTGGATATTAAAGAACTATAAGACCCCTTCTTAGAATGTTGTTTTTCTCTTTTTCCTTATTAATTTTAATTTGAGGTCGGCGTGGATAAAATCTTATGTGTATAAAGTTTCTTTAAATATTTCACAAAAAAAAGTCAGATGACCATTTTATCCTTAAATTTTAATTGTTTGTCACACAATACTAATCGAGTTAACAACATTCATCAATTTTAACGTTAAGAAGAAAAATAGGGTTAACGTCTTAATACATGTTTCTTGACTTAATCTATTAAGTCAAGATGTCCATATTAAATATAATACAGTTGTTCAGACGAAATACTTAACTCATTAAGCTCTTAAATATTAAAAAAAAAACAATCAATTAACAAAATCAACGAGTAGTATTATGCTTAACATGCAACACATTGTTAGATGTCTAAGGAAGAAAATTTTAAATTTATAATTCTTAATTTTCATATAAAAAAAATCTAATAATAACCATCACTTATTTTCACAAGAACCGCCCACTGCCGCTCAAGCTCGCCGTATACATCATCAGTCGGCAGCTGATGGCGGCAGCAAGGACACGTGTTCCTCTTAATCAACCATGGCAATATACACATCCAATGAAACCGATGTTCACAAGGCAATTCACACACATCTCTCCCTTCCCTCATCTCTTCTTTACACACAACACACTCTTTTCCTCCTTGCTCCACCTCCACCGACGGCAGTGCCACAACTGCCGTCACAGACGCCGCCACCTCTCTCCCTTCCTTCCCATCTCCACCACCGCCCATCACCTCCACAAACTTCCGGCACCTTGTCACCACTTCAACATATTTCCTCAACGTTTCACTGTTGGAGAACCCAATGCCGGAGAGAGTCAACATGGTGGTGGAGACATAACCGGAAAGCGACTCCCGCCACTTTTCCGGCGATAATGTCTTGAGTGATTCCGGATCATGTTGATGGAGTTCACATAGAAGGAGTAACAGTAGAACAGAGTCAAGGTCACGGTGGTTGACGTTGACCACGGTGGTGTTGTATGGTGGTGATCCGGCAGTTTTGGGGTGGAGGAAGTGGGAGAGGTGGGAGAGGATTGATAAGAGGTGGCGGGAAATGAGGAGGGATTTTTGATTGAGGGAGAGGGTGTGGAGGTGGTGGAGGGAAAGGGAGAAGAGGGTGTGAGAGGAGAGGAGGGAGGAGAGACGGCGGTGGTGGAGGTGGAAGAGGGCGGAGATGGTGGTGGTCAGGGAGGAGATTTGTGGCGGGGTGAGGGTGGAGAGTGCTGCCATGATTGTACTTCCGGTGGGCTTCTCTTCCATTACGGGATCATGTGCCAAAAGAAGAAAAAGAGATAAGGGGTTTTATTCAAGTAGTTACGTGTGTGGGGAAGAGTGTTTGTTAAATTTATGGTGGGCTCTAATTGATTAGTTCTATAAAAAAAAAATCTAGAATTTTAGTGAATTAGGATCATTTGTTGTCTTGCATTACAAACTTGTGTTCTACGCATTAAAACATATACTATAGAGCAACTAATGTAAGTATATGTAATGATCTGTCATTGGATACCATTTTGCATTAAAAGTAAGGTTTCATTATTTGTGAAAAGTAAAAGAGGTGAAATAATAATATGTACTGATATAGTACACCAATATGCTTTTGAGAATTTGGTGGGAGTATTTTAATGAGTTTTGCGTGTTAAGTGATCCTATATGTGGTCATAAATTCATAAATTTACTCCATGTTCATGTGAAAGTTTTACATGAAACTGTTAAAATGAAATTTTGATTTATATGTGTACGAAATGTTATTCTTGGAGGAATTTTCGAATGTCGTATAAAATCATTAATTGAACGATCACATAAAGGTAATTATGTACTCGAGATGTGAAGTCGTTACAAGAACCTCAAATAAAGATCAAAATTGCAAAACAAAAATGGGATTCAATTTGCAAAAATCATCAATACTCAGGACCAAATTTGTAATTTACTCTATATTTAATGATCCAAATGAACATAACCATGTAATTCTTTTAGATATACTACATACATTGATACATATATGTTTGTGTGTGTGTAAAGGAGGAGGACTTTTAAGCGTGTGAAGTGATGGAGTAGAATGGAAGGGAGTGGCTGGAAATGTTGGAATTTTGTCGACAAGTGTGTGTCTAAAAGTAGCATGTTTGGCAATTGGCAATGTATGTTCTTTTCATTCTCTTATTTTACTAATAAAACAATCACAAGTGAATAAAATACAATTTGGCCCATGCATACATCCTCTTGTCCCTACATTAAAAGCATTAATAATGGATAAATGTTGTAAACTAGTGACAACTTATATGGGAATATGTGTGATTGTTAGTTGAAAATTTACTAAATTATGCATCGGTATTTGCAACCTACACATCCCAAAAAATCATGTGTGATTCTAAATTTTAATATTTTGGGTTGCAAAATCAATAACTACACCTAAATGCAAGAAATAACAATGCATTTTTTATTTTATTTTTCCTTATTATAACGTTGTACATTTATTTTTTCTTGCTTTTCAAATAATTTTTATAGCAATAAGTAACCTCTTGATAATGATTTGAATTATGATGACATGTCACTTTCCACATACATGGTTATTTGTATAAAACACTTAACTTTTTTACCATTTTTATGATGACAAGATCATGATATAACTTAACTCCATAAGGTAACACAATATATATATAATAGCAAAAATATGAAAACTTTCCCTCTATACTATGATCGAATGATTTAATTCCAAGCAACAATCACCTTCCTCATAAAAATATTCACTTACACCATACTTATCTTCTCTCATCAAGTTAAATAATCCATCCAAAATCGCATATATTTCATCACTTCTTTCATTTGATAAATCTTTAGCTATAAAACTTTGCATGCCACCTGGCGTTTCTATCCAACTACAACCCGCAATCTTTTTCAACCCAAATTTATTTAACATCACCCTAACATTTTCAGCCTCTTCAAATCTCCCAGCTTGTGAATATAAATTTGCCATTATTATATAATTTCCAGTATTTTCAGGCTCAATGTCAAACAAATAATCAAAAGCAAATTTCCCAATTTCAACATCACCACAAACTGAAGCCCCATGAAGCAATGCACCCCAAACTTTTTCACTACCTTCAAAAGGCATTTTCTTTATAAACTCCACAGCTTCATATAGCTTCAAAGCCCTAGTTAAAACACCTACTATACATGCATAATGCTCCATGGATGGATGAATATTGTATTTAGGTAACATGCTTTCAAATACCCTAAAAGCTTCATTTACATATCCAGAATGAGCACAAGCTGATAATACAGATGTGAATGTCACAGGATCTGGATATATACCTTCTTTTATCATTTGATTGAATAAATCAAGTGTTGAGTTTACATCTCCATGTGAAGAATATGCTGAGATTATTGATGTCCATATGATTACACTTCTCTTTTCTGATTGGTTAAAAGCTATGTGGGCCCCATTGAGAAAACCTAATTTAGCATAGGTGTCGATAATCCCTGTTGCTACATAGATGTTTGTGTCATAACTGTTTCTGATTGCGTATGCGTGTGTCTCTTTTGATCCTTTTAGATTTGATAAATGTGAAAGTGTAGGAAAAATGTTTGAGAGTGTTACAGTGTTTGGTTTGAAACTGTTTTCTTGCATCTCATGGAGTAAATCGATTACCTTTTCATACAAATTGTTCTGAAAATGACCTGAGATCATAGCATTCCATGTACTCAAACCTGGTGTTTTCATTTCCCTGAAAAGCTTCATGGCTTTGTCTACAAAGCCATGTAGCATGTACCCTGATATTATAGAGCCATAGCTGATTTCATCTTTCTCAGACATTTCATCGAACAGTTGGTGAGCGTAATCCAAACTGCCACATTTGGCGTACATTGTGATGAACGCATTGCAAACTGGAAGATCCGTTTGAATTTGATTGTCTATCACAAATTTATGAACTTTCATACCTAAATTTAGATCATTCGACTGTGCACATGCTTGCAGGATGCTGATTACTGTGAACTCATTTGGTGTTATGTCTTCCAAGTTTAAAATCTTTGAATATAATTCTTTGCATTTTTCGTAGAATCCTCCTTGTGAATACCCTGCCATCATTGAATTCCAGGACACGAGATCTTTATCGGGCGCAAGATCAAACAAAGTTCTTGCTGTATCAATCTCATCACACCTACAGTAGAAAGTTATCAAAGCATTTACCACAAAGATATCGGAATCTAACCCGTTCCGGATGATATAACAGTGAAATGTTTTAGCGAAGCTTGATTCATAACCCAACGAGGACAAAGCCTTTGACACACATGTAACAGTGTAATTATCTGGTTTTACAGACATCGAAGAGGCAGATAAGAAACTCCGGAAAAGCTTCAGTGTATCTGGGTGCTTGTTGTTCATTGAGTAGCCCATGAGCAATGCGTTCCAAGAGAAAGTGTTCTTGTTGGGAATTTGGTCGAACACCTTGTGGGCTTCGAAAAGGTTGTTGGTTTTAGAGTAAAAAGTGATGAGTTTTGAAGCCAAGAAGTTGTCGAGGGTGACGGAGGAGAGAATGAGTTTGCCATGGAGTAGCTTAGCTTGGCGGATGAGACGGTGGTTGGTGCAGTGTTGGATGAGGCGGCCGTATGCTGCGTAGTTGAGTCCATTGGGGAGGTGGTGTTGAATGATTTGCGGAGTGGCGGGTGGAATTTGAATTTGCAGAAATTTTGTGAATCTCATTAGTTTGGGCCTATGCTCCCATCAAGTTTCTGAAAATATAAAGATGAAAAATAATGAAATTTAAAATCACAACTTTAAATGAAACCCTAGGGGTCGTTTGATTTCAATCTGACTGAGTTAAGTCAGTGTTTTTTCTCTGATTCGGGCAGCCCAATTTGTTTGATTTGCATGTTTAAAGGTCTGACCAAATTATTTTTCTTCTTACCAGATTTAGTGAAAAAAAATTAGTTGACTGAGAACTTCACATCTTTACCCTTTGCATCGATCTTCTGTGGCCTTTGAACAAGCGATATTCCATCCAAATCCTCATCATCTCAGCGACGACAAGCAATATTCGGCCTTTGACCTCGCCGCCATCATCCAGCCTCGTCGCCGCTTCCGTCCTCCATCCTCGTCGCCATTGCTATCCTCCAAATCGATGGTAAGCTGCTGATTTCTCATCTCTAAAATTGATTCCATCTTCATCGATTCTATCCTCTTCACGCATCTGATTACTTCACGCCTCCATCTGGTCGATGTTGTGCAACCTCTATCACCTTTCCCTTCTTCCACCAATTTCTCCTGCAAACCCTCATCATCGATTTCCCCCATCTACTGATAAAATCTTCTTTTAGTCTGGTAATTTTTTTTTTGCAATATGCAGGATCTTAGATTACAATTATGGTGAAATTCTGATAAATTTTAAGTTTATGAACTTGTCTTCATTCATTTGTACATGAAAAGTGTTAATCAAAAGATTTGGTGAAGATCAAATTCAATCATTCAGCCGATATCAAAAGGATTTACGGTTGAATTTGAATTAATTTAGCTTAAAATTAAGAATCATATTGTTTTTCCTTTACACAGTAGACTTCATAGTTCCTTTAGCATCACCGGTTCTAAACATTTGCTTTCAGTAGCTTATATTTGATTTGTACTTTTTATTTGTTTGTTTAAACCCAAAAAATGATTGTTTTGTTTGGCTTTTGTTTTAGCTTTAGGAAAAAACTTAACCACTTATCTAAGGCATGGACCTATATAGAATCACAAAGTTTTGCTATTAGTTATAGATTTGTTTTCACATAAACCTGTCCATTTATTGCTCACTTTCGATGACAAACAATGTATTTAGAGCAGCAATGAGTTTTGAATATAATGTCTACAAATGAATTAATTCTTGGTGTTTGTTTTTCAGGCTGGGGATTTATATACCTGATGAGAAAAGTCATTATGTTCATTACTTGTTTTTTCTACTTGAATGTTGATGATCATAATGTCTTTAGGTAATTAAGGATATCATTTAATTTTTTAAAAGTGTCTAAAGATATTGAAATAAGGTTTTTAGCTTCTATCTTCCCAAAATTCTATATTTATTACACTTTAAGAGAATGAGTTTCCTTTTTGAATTGCTTGTGAAGGGTAAAATGATCATTTTTCATTAGTCAGCACATTCAGTCATATGTGTGTTAGATGCAATTTGTACACCTTTTTGCACACCTTTTAGTCCCATTTCATGCATCTATTTAGCATAATTGTTCTTCCTTTTT